TGAGCGCACTAGAGACATGCTGCATGGAACCAGAGAGTGAGCGCACTAGAGACATGCTGTATGGAATCAGAGAGTGAGCGCACTAGAGACATGCTGCATGGAACCAGAGAGTGAGAACACTAGAGACATGCTGTATGGAACCAGAGAGTGAGCACACTAGAGACATGCTGTATGGAACCAGAGAGTGAGCACACTAGAGACATGCTGCATGGAACTAGAGAGTGAGTACACTATAGACATGCTGTATGGAACCAGAGAGTGAGCACACTAGAAACATGCTGTATGGAACCAGAGAGTGAGCACACTAGAAACATGCTGTATGGAACCAGAGAGTGAGCACACTAGAGACATGCTGCATGGAACCAGAGAGTGAACACACTAGAGACATGCTGTATGGAACTAGAGAGTGAGCACACTAAAGACGTGCTGTATGGAACCAGAGCACAAATCACTGTTTTTCAACAAAAATCATGTACATCTAACATTAATTATCATTGGTGACTGAATAATGTTTTTGATACATACCTGCTGCAACTAACTTGCCATCCAATTCAGCTGCTCCTAGAGCACAACGGGCAAACTTCATAGGTTCAAGCATGGTCCAGGAACCTTGGCTTTCAATGGACAGTGATCTGAGCAAACGAGGACTCTTTGATGCAGAATCAGGTAATTTCTGATGTAAAGATATCGCAACCAGTTTGTTATTCACAGTGGCCAGAGCAATGTAAGTGGTCTTGTTATCTGAAGAAGTGAAAGATAACAGTTTCCATCAAGGTGCTATGCAAGAGATTAGACATACAGTGGGCAGTGCAGAAACCATGGTAACAAATAAATGTAGCCGGTGGTATACAAGTGGGGTATTCTATGAATCCCTAGTTGTGATCAAATGAAAAACAAAGAACAATATTTCAAGTCTGAAATGAAGCTAATCAGAACATGCTTGCCTTGTTCCATTTCATTAGTTAATTATTCAAAGGTTATGCAAATTGCGAATGTACGTCTTGATGTAAATCCTAATAAATACAATTTAAACTGTCAACAGTTTTTGCTGCTAGACGCATGCTGTATTTGTGAATTTTAAGTTGTTGGACGAAGATAAAATCATGTGAAACTAACATATGGCTCCATGTTGAAGTACGCCAACAAAATGTTGTAGAAGTAGTGCAAATTGTGTTTTACATACCGTACTTCCCCAGTCATAAAAGCCCCTTCATGGGTATAAGATGACCCCCTATTTTTAGCTTTTCCACCACCAGTTCCCTGTTTTCATCACAAATTCACAAAACAGTCCTGTTTATAGTCTCTGCACTTTCCTTCAGAAGTTTGGGACAAAAACATAAATTTTTTTTGGTGTGAAAAACTGAAAATTTGGGCAAGAAAGTCTGGTGGTGATAAGGTAAGACAACGAGTTGAAGGCATCCCTCACTATGCGCACAGGTTTTTTTTTTTTTACCAGAAGTCAACAATAGTTATTTAATGGTTTTCAGAAAACTTGCACACAGAATACTGAAATTTAAGCCATGCCTTAAACAAACATACCAGAAGTCTGAGACGCAGCAATGACTCTCCAGTCTTCACACTGACTTTTCTTGTTTCTTTCTCCACTAGTCATAATCAACTGTCTTGCAGAGCCATTATTGTTGCTGTTGCTGGAATTAGTGTTCTTTCTCTTATGAGGAGTTGTCTGACGTTTGTTGTTCTGCTGCCTATATTCTTGTATTATCTCAGAATCAGAATCATAATCCAAGTCATGGATATCGACCAAGGTGTTATCAGAACTCAAAAACAAAGCGTGAGTCTATAGATGAAAAAAAAATTCAGTTAACTACTGGAACAGTAAGTTATTTGCATGACCGTTTTTGTGAAACTGAACAAAACTGAAATGTAACACTGTGAGGATGTAATATTTATAACTAGTTGCAATGACTATAAACTTTTAAATTTTCACTGCTAGAAATGTCTGCAATTTCAGGATTGCACAGCATTTGTGAAGACAACATTTTGTGAAACTTGAAAGACACTGAGACTATGTTGTTAGATCCCTTTCAACTTAAAGCAATTTACAGTACATATTGTTTGTACATACACACATGTCGCATGAAACAAGGTGAATGCAATTAGTTAAGAAATCAAACATCTTGAATCCGATCACAAAAAAATATTTGACATGTGTGATTGATTGGTACTGAAATTTCAAAGATGCGATGCAGTCTACAGGGGTGGAAATTACAAATTATTGGACTGGTTGGGGAATAAAAGAACCCATCCCAATCGATGATCACAATTATATTATTTGAAATAAATTTGTCATTCTTAGTTCATCATAAAATAACTATTTGGGCAGTTAGTAAAAATCTTTTTTTTTTTTTAACCTGTCCACAGGGACAGGCAATTGTACATTTATCTGTCCCAGCTAAAATCTGCTTGTCTGGGACGGGTGGACAGGTCTTCATGTTTATCTCTGGTCAGCATGATGCACAGAGGTTGTGTCAGTTTTCAGACAAGCACTAGAAATGATAACAAGACATATGACCGCTTATTTCTATTTTTATATAGCGAAAACATGTGCGTCAACTCTGAAACAAAAAAATGTTGTTGACTTATTTTATACTACACGTACATTTAAAAAAAAAATTGAAGCAATTGTTCATTCTGAAGTTCTATTGTTCTGTACTAGGTCAGTAGCTAGACTGGTTAGCAACAGCCTTCATTACTGAGCAACCATATTATAAAATGTAATAAAATAAATTTTAATGTTAAGCACTCATTGTTGTCAGCATGAAGGTCAAAAAGGAATAAAGAAACAAAGAATAAATCAATCCATAAAACATCTCTTGTTTCAAAACCATTAAATCAAACATTTTTTTAGGGTATGACTTGTCTTAAAGACTCATCTTATTATTACTTAATGCTGAGCACTTAGAGGTAAGATAACTTAATGGCATGTTATAATAAAAAACTTTTGACTAATCAGAATACTAAGTTCACATATCACCTGACCTTTCACAGGTCAATTTTCAATTAACTTTCGACTCTTGACCCTTGACCCCAGAAAACTAAAGACAGAGAGATAAATTGACTCACCTCTTCGGTCAAGTCCCGCAGTTTGCAGCCACTGATGACACAATCTTTGGCCCAATCAAGAACCTTATCAAACATTTGCTTATCATTCATCTCAAAATCATCAGTGCAGACAATCTCCACCTGTAATCGTGGCAACAGTAAGAACTGTTGATTCAATGCTACATCGATGATGTTCTTCTGTATGTACAGTTCCGTCTCCCGCAACAATTTGGTGTCTTTCAAGCGAGCAGCAAAAGTGTATAGTCCTGTAATGCAAGCAAGTATAAATCTCTGCTGTATATAATTAAAAATCATTAATAATAATCACTACAACTTTTCTGAATTTATTCATTAAATTCAATTATCAGTAAAAGATAAAATAATTTGAATTTTGCTATTCATATATCATGAATAGAATCAAGGAACAAATGCATGTCTGATACACATGTGTGTAGTTTGAGCACAATCAGTCCAAGCATGTGCAGGATACTGCTGGATACGGACATAATCCATAAGGGCTTGGTTTTCGAACATTGTCCAAACGTGGATATGAAAAACTTTTCATAATTTGTTGGCATAGTAAGATGGTAGGTAGTTGAGTGTTATTGTTTAGAATGGGCCCATGCCGTTTGATGAAAATGACAGAACAAAGTGTGTCCAGTTTTCAATTCATTTGTTCATTGATTGTATTTAGATAAGCATAGTTGTCTTTGTAATCCTTTCAAAGAACATTTATATCTGTTATTTTAGAAGATTATTGAGACAGGGGAGACAAAAAACATTTGTTTACATAGTGGACAGAGGCAGAATCTCTGAATTGGAATAACCCATGAGCACTTGGTGTAATCCCTGGGATTGAGTGGTTCTTTAATACTGTAATATTTAGTTCCCCAGTACCACGTGTGAGTGAAAGAAACCTGCCCACGACTATCACATGACCATCACATATAAATGTCTATATACGAGTCATTCTGTGCCCGATTTGATAGCTCCACTTACCGATGCAACTATAGTTATTCAGATGGTCCACCAAGTAATCTGTACAAACTTTCTTGATTCTATTCATACGGAAAAGTCTGGCAGCAGCGTATACATCAAAAACCTGGTCAGGAGAGATGTCAAGCCTGCAAAACACACATTAACAACCTTCATTAAAATCCTAATATTTTATTTAATATGGGACACTCACAAAAATGGCAATTGTGAAGTTAATAACAATATAAATTGCAAATGCTGACTGGGAGCTTATTTGTTTAGTAGCTGAACAAACTTCAGTTAGATTTCAATTTCCATCATATTGGATTTGTGTAATGTCATCACAAATCAATGTTTACTTGGAGTGTACCAAGAAGTAATATTATCCACAAATCAGATTTTTTCTTCACTTGTAATAAAAAATCAAAAAGCTTAGAAAGAACTCCTTTGTGCTGAGAGTATTGGAGACACATTACAAAATTAATTCAAAATTTAAGATTTGCTTTTCAAACAAGAAGCTTGGCAACTAATTTTTATCTACTATTTGAGATACACAACATGAAAACAATGTGATTCACATTATCAAAATGTATAATACAGACAGAAAATACATTTGATTTTTCCAATATGGTTTTTAGTCTAATTTATTCCAGAGCACCTCTGCGATGAATTAAATTTAAAAATGATTTTTTTAGATATCAGAAATGGTCTAGTAATAGATAATCAATATGCACGTTTATCAACATGAAACTAATCATGTCTGTGGATAACCTCAATGAACCAAATAAATTATTATACAAATTAAGCAGTTATTATGCATAGATTTAGGTCTGTATATTGTTTCAGGGTTTAAATGTGATGATTAAGCCTAACTAAATTAGTGGAAAGCTGAAAAGTAAATTATTATGCAAATTAGGCAATTATTATAGATGTATATAAACCTAAAACTAATTTGATCATCACATTGTGTTTGAGTACATATGTACCAAGATTCACTGAATTAAGATAAGTACTGTCACCGACCATCTACCGTATTTATCCGGGTAAGCGCCTATTGTGTGGACGACAACAATGAACTTCAGGACGAAGCTGTAGGGCGGCGACAGTGATAGTGACTTGGCGGTTTCGATTTTTGTGAAGGTGGCAATGAATGTACAAATAGAGATCTGAGAAGTTTTTCCATACAACTATGAACTTTCATAGTTTTTACTGTGTAAATTATTAATGATCTTGTATAACTGTTTTGTCAAAACCGTTTTCATTTGACATTCTATTCCCTGTCGCAGTTCTGGTAAAACATCTTGTATACGACACATTGTTTTGGTAACGTATTAGAAAAATATGAGCTAAATTTAGAATATGAAATTCTGCAATTTAAAAGACATTTCATATTTGATAAAATAAATGATTACCGGGTAATGACATCTTCATTCACAATTATGTAACAATATGAAGACTAATATTTTAGCTATCCATGAAGGGACTTTACTTTAGTGCTAGAATTGTTTCTGCAAAAATTTTGATGAAACATTTTTTCGGAAATTTCTATTGATTTTACATCAAATTGATGTAAATTCCCATTGGCTACAAGGGTTGATCCAACACCCCCCCCCCCAAAAAAAATACTGAAAAATTATACTGTTTATTCTGTGAAAGTTGTCGAAAGTAAATATTGGTGCTCAAAGGGTTAAAAGATCATAGTATGTCAAATATTCACGGGTGAAATTGCTAGATTAATTTTTGTTTCAAAATATACTCGTGAAATAATTATACATTTTTTGCTTCATTACCTTATTTATAACCTATAACACAGAGTCAAATAATTATGTTCAATTATTAATGCTCATACCTTGAAGTGTAGGCGTAATTCACCAGGGTTTCAACAGCAGTGGGAGTGAGATTGTCGCTAACACTGACATTCAATATTGGTGTATTTCCCACATCACCTTCAGAGTTAAACAGCTCAAACAAGTAGCTGCTACAACAAGCCAAGATTGCTCGGTGAGCAGGGATTTCCTGTTTGTCACAGCTTAGCAATACGTCACAGAACTGTTTATTCTTGCGCATGGCATTGAGTTGAGCCATGGACGATGCCCATTGTGTATCATCATCAAACACAAGATTATTACCAGGATGAGAATTCATACTGATGATGATGTCAGATCTGTAATTTAAACAAAGTAATTTATTTATTCTTTAATCTCATACAGAGAAAACATACTTGACCACTACTACACGTAAACTTCTCATGCACTACTAGCATTTGTCAGCTATCATCAGTTAATTAATTGGCATTTCTGCCTTGAAGTCTTAAAGCATCTGTTACCAAGACATTCCTCCTCCACACACACACACACACTAAGAACATTTACGCCATTCAAAGCATAACAAATTTAAACGAGAGAAAAAATAAAAATAAAATGTACATTTTCAACTCTTGAAACATTAATACATTTTTAGATCAATGATCAGACCAAAGAAAAATAAGCAGCCTCTCTGCTGAGATAGCTCTTCTGTTAGCAATGCACATTTCAATTGAAGAACTGAAGATATCATTAGAAAATGAACAATATGTATAGTATCAAAGCAATCAAACTTTCTGTTTTCAACAAGAAATGTGAATTCGAAAATATCACTTTTTAGCAAAAATATTCATTAAAATTAGATAATTGAAGATATGACTTGCGTTTTTTAACAAGAAGTAGAAAATATCACTTTTTAGCAAAAATTACAAAAATATTCATTAAAATTAGAGAACTGAAGATGTCATGAAAAGGACTACCCCAAGAATCTATGATGCAAATATGAATTAATTTGGTTTAACGGTTTTCAAGAAGACAAAAATGTGAAAAGTTGATGACAGACTACGGACGCTGGACTATCATTAATACGAAGAGCTCTGCACCGCCGACAAAGTCAACAGTGTAGCTAAAACATGCAATGACAACTTGCACATAAATCAAAACAAATCCCTTTTTTTTATAATACACAATGACGAAGTGGCATATCTTATTAGCATTCACACTGTAGTCTTGATCAATGAAAACTATACATGTTTTTCTGGGAAATTAGTCTCACTGGCAGTTTCTATTCGTAATCATTTTTTTCTTTATTTTATCATTTTAATTTTGAAGCATTGTACAATGTATCACTGTAAATGATATGGCCCTCAGTAAACCAGCGTAAATCTCAAGGGATCACAATGTACAATGTATCACTGTAAATGATATGGCCCTCAGTAAACCAGCGTACATCTCAAGGGATCACAATGTACAATGTATCACTGTAAATGATATGGCCCTCAGTAAACCAGCGTACATCTCAAGGGATCACAATGTATCACTGTAAATGATATGGCCCTCAGTAAACCAGCGTACATCTCAAGGGATCACAATGTACAATGTATCACTGTAAATGATATGGCCCTCAGTAAACCAGCGTACATCTCAAGGGATCACAATGTACAATGTATCACTGTAAATGATATGGCCCTCAGTAAACCAGCGTACATCTCAAGGGATCACAATGTACAATGTATCACTGTAAATGATATGGCCCTCAGTAAACCAGCGTACATCTCAAGGGATCACAATGTACAATGTATCACTGTAAATGATATGGCCCTCAGTAAACCAGCGTACATCTCAAGGGATCACAATGTACAATGTATCACTGTAAATGATATGGCCCTCAGTAAACCAGCGTACATCTCAAGGGATCACAATGTATCACTGTAAATGATATGGCCCTCAGTAAACCAGCGTACATCTCAAGGGATCACAATGTCAATGAGAAAAATATTCGTGGGATGAACAAATATCTTTCTTTATCAAAATCAAGGAAACCTTAGAAATAACTCCTGTGTGCTAAAAGTAATTGAGGCATAAAGCACAAATAAGAAATACTGCATTTATTACCATTACTAGAAGCACATCTCACTATCATTGAAAAATGTCCTATTTTGGCAATAGATCTAAAACTGGAAATTAATGAATTAATATGCAAATTAGATGATTAATATGCACAAATGTCAACTCAAACTAAAGTGTACCTGTGCATTGTCTCAGGGCATAAATTTCATTAAAATATGTTGAGTGGTTCTTGAGGACCGACTGACTTCCATCCTATTCACAAAATATTGCTAGTGTTGTATTTGTACAGCATTTCAATGGCTAACACTCCTCACATTGTACCATTGGAAGAATACAGTTTTAGAACATCTGGTTGTAACAGATGACATTCGAATGACGTCAATAGCAAAATACTCCCTCATATATTCATGTAAAAGTTTCTATACTTTCGAATAAATAGCGATAGACACTTAAATATTTATCACATTAATCATGACTAAATCAATATTTTCCATACTCTGACTAAAGCAGATCAAACAAATGTTGAACATTTTCTGTACAGGAAATATAGATACAATGTATGTATGTATACAAGATTGGCAGTAGCACAGACATGAAAAACTGTTTTGGTACGAGTCGTGACATTTCTTGCAACTAAAATACAAGTCATTGAAAATGACACAGTCCCCGTTAAGTTTTCTTTGTGCTCATCATATTAAAGCGGAGGGGTTGTCGCGAGCGTGTCCTTGAAACTTGAGTGCCAAGTGGCGTATACAACAGATTGTTTATTTACATCAAAACACGTGTTTCGTGTCATAGTAATATGGCCAAAATAAAAACAGCCGTTATTCAGCCATCTTTGATCTGATTATGAAACACACTGATATGTATGATGTATGTGCCAAATACGAATGAAAATGGTACATAAATTGTGGAAATATAGTAGTAAGGCCAAAAAGTCAGATGGCTGTCAATCTGCCATCCTTGACCAGATTTTGAAACAAATTGTCATGGATATGCATCCTAACATGTATAAAGTACATGTATGTGCCAAATTTGAATGAAAACTGACAGAGCACGTCCAAGATACCGCATAAAAAAACAAAAACAAGATGCCTGCCAGTCGACCATCTTTGATCCATCATGGACATGTATCCTAACATGTATAATCTATGTACCAAGTTTGAATGAAAACTGACAAAGCATGTCCAAAATACAACATTTTCAAAAAACAAGATGGCTGCCAGTCGGCCATTTTGAATCGAATCGCTAAACCACTGCATGTGCATATGTCCCGCATAAAGTACTAGGCACATGCAAAGAATGAACGGAATCGGTCCAAGGGACTCTGAGATATGACTTTGGACGGACGCACGGACACACGGAGACCAAATTATAAGTACCCGTTTTCGGACTTCGTCCGAACTGGGACTAATAAGCAACAAGAAACAAAAATAGTGATCAAATGTTCATGCACGCCTTTTGTTACTTCTCAGAAACAAAATGGTA